TTTGTTTGTGTTAAATTAGTGTTTCCGGGTTACCGCGGGTCACTCATGTCGATCCTATAATAATTGAAAGTTGAATACGAATTTGGCTCTAAAGGAGATACTGTGTAGTAGGAACGAAAAGTGTGTAAATCGAAGCTGATATTATATTTCTTAGGTTTAGTGCCAAACATGTGAACCTCAGAAGACATTACAAGAATAGACAAGTATGGATGATTGTTTCAACTTATTGTTATGATGAGAATGAAATAGATTAGATATTATTCAAGAAATTGTTGATAGAGTTCTAAATTTATTAGATTTAAGTAGAGTAGGTTATATTCCCCGGGTGGACTTATGCGGCTAATGTCTTACTTCCCAGAATTATGCGAATGATCATAAAATTTGCGTGCAATTTACCACGTGATAAATATACTAAATTTGGATTGGTCAGTTTCTTCCGGAATTTATGTTGTTTGATTTCTACTCGGAATATGCCGGAACGGTACAGTATAGTAAAAAGATCGCTCATAAAAAAAACCTCCCGATTGATTAAAAATCAACCAATCACAGGCACTAATTACTATTATACGCATATTCGCATACGGGGTCTTTGCCTTGATAATCACCTTCCGACATTTCCGATCGGGCTAATTCGGACAAAACCAAACCCGCGTATTAGTTCATGTTTATATGTAAATCCCCTTTGTATATATTGTTTCAATAGTTTATTCGATAAACTATTGAAACAATAAATACAAGGGGATTTACATATAAACATGAACTAATACACGGGTTTGGTTTTGTCCGAATTAGCCCGATCGGAAATGTTAGAGGGTGGTTTTCAAGACAAAGACTTCATAGGAGGACTTGGCTGATGAATCAATTGCCCAGGTAACTTATTTATTCACTTTAAAGTACTTTTTGGGAACACAACGTTTCACTAACAAAAAATCACCGTAAAAGCCATTTTTCGCTTCGATAGAACGTCTATATTCACTATGCAAAAATAATCAGTAATAATCAGTATCCCCGCGAACTTTACTTAGAAGGCAAAATATGCCTACCGTTTATTGGACCATATCAAATTATACTGTAGAGTGAAGGTAACCAGAAATGTTTTCGTCTAAAACTATTTTATTACGTTAGATTTAAATAAACTTTTATTTTTAACTGTTTAATTTGAATAGGTACAAGCTCTTTAACAAGAAGATCCGGGTTTAATATTTAAATTTGGTCGGTTCTTGTAGTGTGTTTGAGCTTGTCAACCGTGAATTAATAGTTAAAGATTTAATAGGTTTAATTTATATCTTATAATAGGTTGGGTTTATTAGTAATAAATATCTTATTTACCCACTTTACGCGTCTCTACATATTAATAATAAATTCTTTCGCGTGTATTTATTAATTTGTAAGCTTCTTTATACGAAGTTTCTTTCATTTTCTAATATCGTAGTATTAATTAAAAATTATGCATTTGATTGGTTAATTATCACGGGAAATCACGACAAAAATCAACCAATCATATAAATGTCTTTCTATGAGGCAAAGACTCCATATTCGCATATCGATATGTAATGCCCATTAAATTCGAATGTTGCAATAATTCCTGTATGCACATGAAACAGTTACACGAACTTGATAAATCGAAAGTTGAGTGAAGTTTTATAAAGTAAATAATAAATTTTAAAAACCTTGACCTATATAAATTTATCAGTTTAAATAATTCTTATACAGTCAGATCTTCCTAAGTATATACGCACTGCATAATTTTGCTAATTACACACTCTCTTTAAGTGCACATCATTATGGTCACGAGGGGTGCATTTAGACTACTGTATACGTATATAAATTTTTTACAATATTACTGCATACAATATGAAATTATCATTTTTCTTTTAAAAAAAAAACTTTTTTTTAACTTGGTTGGCGTGTAGTTGACGTGATAGCTTACGTGCATAAATCAAAATTATAATTTGAGACCTTTGAAATCATAATACAATACAGCAGTAATATATAGAAATATACTCCAAATTTTACAAAAAAAGTATCTCAAATATATAAAAGTTTTAAATAATAATAAATAATAAAAAGTTTGAATAAAAAGAAGTGTTAAAATTTTAGCAGAAAAAAATTGTAAAAAAATCAACACTTCTTTAGTATATATAAAATATGAAACTATATATACTAACTACAGTATAACTAGCTATACTAACTAACTATATTGACCATATATCGTATACGTAGCTTTACTATACGTGTACATAAATAACTATATATATACATAATTATATGCATTTAATTACGAATTCACGCATTTATTTATAACTTTAATTAGAAAAAAAAGACGTTGAATATATAAACATTACGCCATGACTGTCCGTAAATATTCCTACCTACATTCTGAGAACGAATTGTAATTTTTTTTACAATAAATAAAGCTGTGAAACAATCGATTCGTTAACTTTATTTTAGCGTGGCAAATAACGATACTTGAAAAAAAAATATAAAAAATAAAAAATAATAATAAAATAATAATTTCAAATTACTAATCTTTTTAAATTATAACTTATTATATAAACAAAAATCTTAGGAAATATTTTATTTTATTATGTACAAAAGTGATGGTTGATGTATTTTTGTTTTTTTTTTTGTTGTATTTTTTTTTTGTGTTGATTCTTTTTACTGGCCAGTTATTACATATTTTTTTTTACATACAATCGTAAAAATTCGAAAAGGAAAAGAAAAAGCATATTCTAAAAAAAAAAAAAAAGAGAAAAATTATGTAAAAAAATGTTCTATTTCATGAATGTTTTTTTATAATATTCATTTAAGCGGGTTTGATTGATTGATAAAGGATTTATTTTAAACGGTAAAACTTTTAAACCGTTAACGATCAACGTTAAAAATTATATTTTTATTCATTCAGATTTTGCCCGAGGATATTCATGTTTGGTCTTTTCGTATTGGTCGATCTTCTTTTACGTAAAGAAACATTTTGTAAATCAATATCTTGAACGTGTGAATCAGTAGCAGCGCGTTTTAAAGAAGGTCTTTTATCCAATGGAGGACTTATTGAAGTAGATTGAGGAAAAGAAATTTCCGTAAATTCTTGTTGTTGTTGTTGTTGCGGAGGTGGTTGTTGTTGAAAATTAATCATAGTAGTAGTAGAATCATCATTATTAATAATTGTAGATTGCGATGGAGATCCATGATGAGATAAATAATGATCGTTAGGAACATCCGAGAATTGGACAGGTATCGTGGTAAATTGATGAGAAAATTGATTATGAGTAGGATATTCGATAAAAGAACCTTCATTTCCGTCGGAGAAAGTATCGATCGAACCGAAGTGAGGGTCTTGATTCAAAGAATCAGTCCAAGGCATTTGATTAAAGAATTGAGTAGCGTTAGAAAGGCTAATGGTCCTTGCTTGCCGATAAGATTCCATAAACTTGATAATACCACGACAGTATTCATTGTCACCTTTTAATATATCTAAATCGATTTCTTTAACGAATTGATGAAATTTATTTAAAACGAAAGTGGTGGAAAGAGGAGAGGATTGGTGTAAATCATCTTGAGTTGATGAAATATTATCATAAGAGCTATAAATATCATTATCATTATTCATACTTGATTCAAATTCCAAATTATGTTGAGGAGTACTTTTTCCGCTTTCATCACTTGTAGAACCGACAGAAGCAATTGAAGGAGTTTGAGGAGTAACATTTAAAGTTTCTAATGGATGATTATGATTATATAAAAGATGAATTTCGCAAGGATGAGATAGATTAAGTCGACTTTTTTCAAGACGAATTTTTGCTAAACATTGACAATTCGTATTTCGACTTCTTCTTTGACCAGCTTTTTGAGCATAAGTTTTTTGCATATACTTGATAGCTGCGATATCAGCGTGTCGACAATGGAAATCTTTATGATAAATAACTTTAATTCCTTTAACTTTATCAGCTCGAGTAATACGAAAAACGGTTCCTGTTTTATTTTGAAAAGCCGATCTCCATTCTTCGATTGCTTCAGTTGATGCGATATTTACATAAAAAGTTGAATCGAAGGCTGCCGTTGGTGCTCCATCAAATTTTTCAAGGTCGATTTCTTTATAAGATTTTATAATATACGTATAATTATCTGGAAGAACTTGCCGTAAATATTGTGGCAATTGATCGTAGGTTCTTGGCGTCGGTCTACTAGTCGTATCGGTTCTACTTTTTAACCGATGTTGAAGACGTTTCTGTAATTCTAATCGAGATGAAAGATTATCATTGGACGACGACATTATTAAAGTATGAAACGAAAAAAAAATAAAGTATCTAATTTTTTTTTGATCGGTTATTATTTAAGTATGAACGAAAGAAAAAAAAAAAGTATTTTATATAAAGATCAAGTCAAGAACGGTCGTTATTCTTCTTATTCCTTTTTTTTTTTTTTTTTACTTTTTTTTTTTTTGCTCAAGACTACGAAGGGCGAAAAAAAGAAATCGCGCTGTTTTCGATTATATTTATACTCAACAAAGGTTTATACTCAACAAAGATTATATTATACTCAACAAAAAAAAAAAAAACAAGGGTTAGTTCAATTTGATATTTTATCAATAACAGTTTACAGTAAAAATAAATGGTAGATTGTGAGTAATAAATAATCCCTCGTTTTTATTCTTGTATATATTTAAAGTACTGCATATACTACGTATTCACATATTATTTATTGTTGTACATGTTTACTTTTTGAAAAATATATTCTGATAAGGTAATTTTTTCTATAAATAAATCATTTTTTTAACATCGACATGGGATAGTACACACAGTACACGCAATTACTTGAATTGCTTCTATTGATAGTTCATTAATTCATATAATGTGTTACTTTTTTTATTTGTTTAAAATAGATTTTCATAAGCTATTGTATTACCTTCAATATAATAATTTATTTTTAATAACGATAATTACGATAATTATTAATCACTTTTAACGTTTACTCTTAATTATCACTTCATCACTTATATCATCCACGTGTGGCTTATGTTTTAAAAATAACCGTATGGATATAAATGTCAAATGTATAGATTATCATTTATATATCTGTTACCGGTGATTAAGTCCGATTATCAAATCACTAGATTTATATGTGAAACTTTCTTCTTTAGGATTCGGTCTAGCATTTTCTTTGTTGAACACTCTTGCTTTCTATCTAGTTTCAGTGGCTTATTCAACCCTGCTCCCTAAAAAAAAAAAATTATGACGACAAGCATGAATAAGCATATGTCGACCTGGCGTAGCCTTAGAATACCTCCTGAAGAGTTGAGACTAGATACTACTTTGAAATGTGGTCAAGCTTTTCGGTGGAAAGTTTCGGGCGAAAGTCAATGGTATATATCTTTTTTAATAAATTTATTATTATAAATTAAATTTATAATAAATTTCTATAAATTTATTATAAATTTTACTATAAATTTACTATAAATTTATTATAAATTTACTATAAATTTATTATAAATTTACTATATATAAATTTATTATAAATTTATTATAAATTTATTATAAATTTATTATAAATTTTTTTATTAATTACAAAATAAATCTATTGTAAACTTTATGTAAACTTTATTATTAACTATAATATACTGTATAACAATATAACTTATGCAACGAACGATATATACATCTATATAATATAATATATACATATATATATTATAAAACTGTAAATTGATATTAATTATTTTCCTTAAATTGAATTGATTCATTATTAAGGTCCTGCGCTTTTAAAGGAAGGTTTATCACTCTGAGACAAACAGGTACATCATACATTTATCTTTATGAACGGTTTTATTTTTGTACAAAGAAAACAAAGTGGACTTGTATTCCTATTATATTTTAAACATTGAATGAATTGCATAATAAAAGTTTAGTTGATTTTTTCTATTTAATATTTATTATATTTATTTATTTTATTCATTTTATTCTTATTTTATTGAATGATATTTTTAGATTCGGATATAGAATATCAATCTTATTTCCCGATAAAAAAATCTTCCGATGAAGTTAATCATGAATTTGAACTAATTGATAAATTTCTCATGGACTACTTTAATTTAAGTCCAATGATTAATTTACGTGAATGTTATGATCGCTGGAGCATGGCAGACAAACATTTTGCAAAGATAGCATGTCAATTTAAGGGTATTAGAATATTACGACAGGATCCTGTTGAAAACTTGTTCAGTTTTATTTGTTCTACTAATAATAATATTAATCGAATCTCTCAAATGGTAATTTTTTGGGACGGGTTTGCTATTTCATACGTTTTTACTGTATCATTTTATCGTTTTTATCATTTTTATCATTTTTATCGTTTTTATCGTTTTTAATTAAGTAATTATTATAAATCATTTTTTTTTTATATATATTTTTTTACTAGATTGAAAAGTTATGTAGTAGATATGGTAATTTGGTGTATACTTTAAATGGTCATGAATATTATGACTTTCCCACTTTAGACAAACTTGTTTCATCAAACGTTGAATCTGAGCTCCGTCAGTCAGGTTTCGGTTATAGGGCAAAATATATTTCCCAAACGGCTAAATATTTGACGGAGAATTATTCCGATGGAGAAAAATGGTTATATTCTTTGCGCAATGTAGATTATAAAGAAGCACATTCTGCTTTGTTAAAACTTTCTGGTGTGAGTACAATTTATTTTTTTTCATTTTCATTTGATTCATTTCCTTTATTGCTTGTTTATACAAGTACAATTACAGAATGAATTAATTAAAATTTTTGTTGTTACCCTTTTTTTTACGTCATTATTTTATTAGGTGGGTCCGAAGGTTGCCGATTGTGTGGTTTGTATTTTATCTTAATTCAATTTTTTTTAATTCACTTTTTTCGGATGCTTGATTTAATTCTTAATTTAAGTTTATTAATTATTTGTTTAATTAATTATTTGTTTATTTAAATTATATAATTCATTATCTGATTTGATTATGTGATTTTTTCAGTGTTTAATGTCTTTAGATAAGAATAATGCAATTCCAATTGATACACATGTCTGGCAGATTGCACAACGAGAATACGGATTTGGTTCAAAAGGTTCAAAAAGTACAAAAGGTACAAAAGGTACAAAAAGTGTGACTACAAAAACATTAACTAGTCGGTTATATGAAGAAATTGGTGATCATTTTCGGAATTTATTTGGTGATTATAGTGGTTGGGCACATTCGGTAAATTATTGATATATTAATTTCGAATTTAATTTTTAATAGAATCTTAGTAACCTAATCATTAAAACTAAATAGGTCTTATTCACCGCTGATCTTAAAGCTTTTCAAGATAGACCATCCTCCTTTACCACAATGGATATCACAATAGATACCACAATTGATGCCAAGATTGATTCAACTTTATCTGAGAGTGATAAAATAATTGTTCCTAAGAAAAAATCTCGTTCTAAAAATATTCAAAAAGAATCAATTCTCCCGAGTAACAAAAAGACTAGAAGGTTCTAATATAATCATAAAGTGATTTACGTCAATTTGTAAATTTGTAAATTTGTAAATGTCAATTTGTCAATTTGTTAGTAGTAATCATTTAATAATAAATAGAAATAATGTTGATAATATACAGTATAATCAGTAATATTTTAAATACGTAATATATATCACTCGTGACTTTGTCAAATGTTTCATTGTATGAGAACATGTACATCACATGAATACAAAAGTGGCGTACAAAATAAAAGAAATCACAGATTTCATCAAAAATCACATTAAAAGTTGAGTGATATTTAAGTAAAAACCTGTTTAAGTCTAGACTTGAATTAAAAATAAATCCGGAGGCGACCGTATCTTATAACCATATTAGTAATAAATTACACTGGATAATTTTTCTATTATTAGTTTTTTTTTATTTCTCCGATAGGAAGATTATCTATTATTAGAACAACCTTAAATTTCCGTGACATACTTAAAGTTACGTTAGCATAAAATTTTGCCCATAATCTACATTAATGGCGGTATGTTTAGTGAGGTAGATCATTTCTTATAATGCTTTCCAGGTGCGCTAGATATACGTACGTACAAAGTGTGTAAACCCACATTATATACATTATGTTCCGATTGTGCACACATTTTTACACATCTCTACACATTTGTTTATCATCTGTCCCTAATTTTGATTGTTTGTCAAATAAATTTAACTGATTTAGACAATGCATAACGTCACGGTGTTTTAACTTTTTTTTACTTTCTGAAACACTGAGCTGCCACCCGTAAACCTATAAGTACTTTGTGTGAAACAAAGTACCGATTAAACTTTAAAACCCTAACTAATACCTAGTTTTCCATTTTATTTATTTTCATGTATGTCATATGCTCAAAATTTTTGTCCACATAATCCCCACATTTAAACTAATTTTAGTTTTTTTTACAGTAATACACAGTAATACGAAAAAAAAATTGCAAGTACATAATCAATTGCATAACTACACAAAATACTTACGTACTTATGTACATAAGCTTTGTACGTTCGTACGTACGTAACATTTTTATTACACGTGTTTGGAAATTAGCATTAATAGATAAACGGGTATATTTTACATATGTCAAATTTTTTCTTAGAGTCCATGTGCTAAATTAATTCCCTTTATCTTACTTTTATATTTTTCTTATCATACCTATCATCATACATTTCTTATATATTATTATACGTATTACTTGTATTAAAAAAGATACGATGATAGCAATTAATCGTACATTTAATCATACGTATCATAAAATCAATCATACGTAACGCGTGAATCATATCTGAAATGATTTTATATATTTGATATATTTACCAATCAATAATTAGTAATGATTATAGTAAAGAGAAAATTTGCATGTATTTTTGATGTCAAAATATCATTCATTTTTCAAAAAAAAAAAAAGATCACATTATTTTTAATTATTTATTATTATTATTCATTGTTAAAATTTCTGATGAATGTTTAACCGATGCATTGAATTATGTTTTTTTTTTGCATTATTTATGATCTACACGTTGAATTATTATTATCTGTTATTACAATTCACGTACGTACGTATAACGTATAGTGCGTATGAATTTACGCGTTTTGTTAAAAAAAAACATTATATACATTATATAATATTGTATACATGACATTGTATACATTATATAACATTGTATACATTATTAATGTCAATTTATAAATATGATACAGGTATATTTAAATATATATATGTATATCTGTATTTATCAGTTATTATTTTAATTAATGAGTGTGAGATTTCCTCCCTGTTTAGTCTTAAAGGTTAAATGAGAAAAGTGGCTTGGTTTATGTAATCATAATTTATGTATGCGTTTACGTGTGCGTGTGTGTTTTGTTTTGTTGTTTTATTGATTTTTCTTTTATTGGTACTTTAAACAATGCATGAATAAAAATAGTAGAGTATAAATAAATAAGCCCTACATAACTATATATACTGTATGTACTATATCTGGTATGTTAAAAATGAATTTCGGTTGATATAAACAGCATTTCCTTTCCCTTTTTTCCCTTAAAGGATTTTGTTTTAAAAGAATTTTTAATTATTACAGTATTTGAAACTTTTGTATTTCACAATAGTGATCCGATACCTAATACGTACGTACGTGATCGAAATTCATAACTGATAATAGATAAGACTTTTTCTTTGTTTGGTTAGTGTCAACCGGTTATCCAGGTATACATATGTATGTACATGGTACGTACCTGGTACGTACGTACCAGATTTATCATTATACGTTATCATTATGGTTATACGGTACTTTTGAGAACACATTGTTTCACCAAAAAAAAAAAAAAATTCACTATAAAAAACTATCATTTAATCTTAAAACGAACGTTATAACATTTACTGTGCAAAATAAAAATTCTGTAATATTAAACGTTAAGTAAATAAGTTTAAATTAAGAGTAACTTTAAATTTTTTTAAAGGGTTTTATAAGCATATAATTAAGGTTTTATTAAGGTTATTGTATGACTAATTAGAAAATAGTGTCGAATTTAGACACTATCTAAAATGTATTATTAGTAAATTCCGTTAATATCTAAAAGCTTTATGCATAAATAAATCTTACAAATAATCCGTATGTACATACGTACGTACTGTACGTATGTACATACATATGATGTGTATTTTCGTCATACACTCGGATATTTAGCTTGATTGTCATAAGTTCATTTCAACACAAGAATAACCAAATTAGACAACAAATGAATACTTTTACTATTAGGTTAAGGCTCAAAAAAAAAAAAAGATACTTCACCATGAACAAAGAAAACAACTATATTCATGAGCAAGTAAGAAGAATAAAAGCACCTGTAAGGAAGAAGCATACATAAATGAAGGTAAAATTTAGTAAAGTCAATCAGATAATATTGTAGCAATTAAAAAAATATAACGTATGCTCGATTTTTAACTGAATGAGCAAAATGCAGTTTTCAATTAAAAAAAAATTATTGCATCGATGAAGTGGTTTATAAAGAAAATTCTAAAGTTTTTTTTTAAGTAGACAATTTCAAATATTGTAGATACTGCAAGTATTTATTTATAACGTGACAATAATGATAAATACGGTAATTAATATCAAAAATGAACTAGCCAAATTAATTCAAAGGTATTTTTTTCCTAGAGATGATATACAAGAGCAATGTTACAAAATACAAATAACGATAACAGGATAACGATAATGTTATTCAAGCTAAATTATTACTCCAGATAGTAAGTGATATATAATATTACGAATGAATACTAGATTTTCTGAACAATTTTTAAAAAGATATTCCAATATTATTTTAAGTTTCGGCCAATAATTTCTCTCACTTTAGGGCTTATTACAGTACAGTGTTTAGTAATATACCGTATAATCTTTATAGTGATATTATTATATCACGTAAAGGAACCTTATAATCACGGGCTTAAACATCATATGCAGTTTTATTTATCGCTATCACTTAAGGATAATATATATAGATATATATATAGAATAGTATATAACTGATATATCTGTATATATACATATCTGATATACAGTATATATATTGAATATATAATATATATATTAAATATATAATACGTATATTAATTATTTTAAAATTATATATATATATATACTGTATATTTAAAAATTTTATTAACTAAAAATTATTCCGATCTCGTGGGCATAATTAATACAGTACAGTTTCAGGTGATTGCATAATAATAAAAGTATACCCTATATACTATTAAATAAGTACAATAATTGTAACCAATCATTTTATAGCCCTTATAGTGGTTTGAGAAATTCCTTATAATTATTATAACTAGAAATATGAAATTATACATACATACGTACGTGCGTACTTACGTACTATCAGCTATATACCTGATACTTTATACGTACAGTATATTTACAGTATATTTACAATATATACATATATATATAATAATAATAATAAAGGGATACTAATGTCTGCCAAGTAAATTTATAACCTAATACATAGAATACATAATTCAATTATCTAAATTCCTTTTTTGACATTATTTAATTATTACGTATTCACGTATGCACGTATAACTACTGTATCTGGTATACAGGTATATATACGTAACAGTACGTATAAAGAGGATTTACATACTGCTTTTACGTAATGCAAATCTCACATGTGACTAATTAAGGAAATATTATTATCCGAGAGGCACGTACGTACGTACCAGGTACGTACAGTACAGTACGTACAGTACAGTACGTACAGTACGTGCTTGCTTACATATCAGATACGTACGTACGTATTTGTTTAGTGTTCACACCAATATTTCTCTAGAGATTAAGTATTGAATAGAATTTAAGTTTTTAATATTTGGTTCACGAGACGCGAAAGCTTTGAAGAAAAGAAACATCCATTTGTGCTAAATAATTATTATAAAAAGGAGAAAAAAAAAATAAACAAATAATTTTAAGAATAACTTTTATTTTTTTGAGGGGTAGTGCAAATAAACTAATTTTTCGATTATATTATTGTTTATACACGCTCGCAACTTATACTTTCTTTGAATATTGTTTATTCCTTAAATAATGTAATAACATCTTGTATGCATAATTATTGCACAAGAATTATCATAAAAAAAGGTTCCTCAATAAATTTTTATCTTACGCGTTGAGTGACTCTTAATAAAACATTGTTTAAAAAAAATTTACATTCAATTCAACAAATCAAACGAATCAAAAGATATGTTTTCATTATACATGCATAAATATTTACTACAAAAAAAAGTTTCTCAAAAAAGTTAAATTGTACGTATTTTTTATTTATTTAAGGATTTTATTCACTCTCCTAGATTAAAGGATAGCCTGCGAGTATCCGGCAGCTTGCAAAATTTTGAGCAAAGCTCCGAGATTTTCCGATGGTAAAAATGAAATAGGGTCTAATAATGATAATAATATGTAAAATATGTAATATAGATAGATACCTTTACACTTAATGCGCAGGCTGCGCAGTAGATCCAAGAATCTTTAATTTGTCCATCCCTAGTAACATAATAAACATAATAACATAATAAACATGATACCATAATAAACATGATACCATAATAAACATAATTACATAATTACATGATAACAATGCAATATAATAGAAATTTACATAGACCAAATCGTCTTAAACTTTCTGTAATGCATCATAAAGTATTCAATGTATCAATCGTTCTCATATAATAAACAACTTCAAATAATGTGTTTACTAATTCTGTAATTATTATACTATCATTCGTATCATTCAAGTTAATTTTAAACATTATGAAAAATAATAACACTAACGCGGATTGAAATAGTACAGTAGTAAATAATTTATATACACATTTTTTTATAACAAAAATAATGCGACTGCAGCCATAATTATAGACAAAAGAGCTGCCACATTAAATAACGTATCTTCCAATGTAATATACCTTAAAGTATTCACATTTCCCAGCGACACAAAATTCTGTTTAGTTTCATTCTTACTACTATCCTTTGGTGGTGGTGGTGGCCCATATAAAGTTTTATTAACAGTATCCGGTGATTTCCAAATTGTAAATGGTCCTGTGACTCCGAAAACTGTATATACTCCACTATTAATTATTCCTTCTGTTTCCACTTTTATATAAAATAGTGACATATTTTTGACCGTATCTTCCGAAATTAATGGTATTTTCCATAAAAATTCCATTCTCGGAACGTCAACAGCTACCTGTTGTGACCATTCTGATTTAACCTTTGGTGAAACTTTAGTTCCAGCTGTTTTTGGATCATTATGTAATGTTATTTGAAAATTTGTTAATGGTGCATTCGGATTACAATCCGCTGATTTTGCCCAACGAATATATACGTTATAATATGGAACTAATATAGAGAAAGGTGGTGGTGTTTGGATATCGATACAATACATTTCATTTTC